TTATCGGTAAATCAGCTTTTTATTAATCAATTATTTTCGATTTTTCAAAGAAAATTAAATAATCAGTTTTAAAAGGAATATAAAAAAAGAAAAGGATTATTTGTAAATAATCATTAAATATTCAGTTTTTTTTTTTGGAAAATCGATTTATCGTAGAATCTTCTTAATTAATTGGTTATTTTCCGTTAATCGATTATTTTCGATGTTTCAAAAATGATCGAATAATTGATTTTAAAGGAAATAATTCTTTTTTTTTTTTTTTTGAAAAATCGATTTATCGATTATTCGACTTTTTAATTAATCGATTATTTTAGATTTTTCAAAGATTATCGATGGAAATACGAAAAAAAAATAGAAATTAAAAATCGATTATTTAAAATAAACGATAATTCGTTTATTATTTTTTAGAAACACTGATATATCGGTTAATTGGCTTTTTAATTAATCTATTTTTTTTTATTTTTAAAGATAATCAAGTAGTCAATTTTAAAGGAAATACGAACAAAAATAGATTGTTTGAAAATAATCGATTGATCGAAAATAATCGATTATTATTAATGATCAATAATTTATTTCGATAATCACCCACTCCTAGCGACCAAATGACTTTTAATAGGTTTAAATTTTAAAATGTTATCTGGTTTCAGACATATACATTTCTAGAGTTTCATGTGACGCATCCTCTATATTAATTAATATTCCTAAAGAAATAAGCTTTAATATATCTTTTTCTGAGGTTATAATACAAAACAGCATTTTCTCATTTTGACTAAATTTTAATATTATGTGATAGTCGTAGAAAAAATATAATGTTCAACTCACAAGGTTTGATTTGCAGTATTCGCCTGCGCACATGCTTTTTTATAATACTCTTAGACAATGAGTACCATTTCTTACTCGATTAACAATATTCTATTTCAACATTTTACTGTAGTCTCTTACAGAAAAGTCCATAGTAAATAATAGCTAACGAAATATTCTATTAAAGGTCTTCTCTTTACATAAAATGTCGTGGCATCTGTTTGATATTAAAAAATCACGTTAAATTTATTTCATAATACAAAATTCCATTAAACGTATATTTTAAATAAATCTAATAGTTCATTATGATGCTAATAAACAAAGTCCGGTCCCTGTCACAGAGTTCGAGTCCCTGCCCAGTTCCCCCACTCCGTTAACCTTTCTTTAGAAATTGGCAACATTTGCGCAGATTAAACACTGGTGTATGTTATATCTCTGGTCTCTTTTATCTAAGGTGTCAATGCGACAATTCTTCTTTTGCTGATATCAACCACCTCATTTTTTCTTGTAGCCACTATAATTCTCATCGTTCAGATTTTCTTAAAAAACGTTCTTCCCTAAATATCCTTTTTTCATCAAGTATTTCTATTTTATTAAGTTCATTTGATGAGAAAATATATAACTTAATTATTTAATTTTTAATTAAAGAAAATATTAAAATATAAATAAATAAATAATTATTCGGTTTACAAAAGTCTGTGGCAACAAAAATTACGTCATACAACATAGTAAACAATGCACAGGTCCGTATTTGAGATATTAATTGTGCTTTGAGTGAGAGTGTTGTAGCCATATTAGGGTTTTGTAAAGATGGATTAAAAATAAGAGAATTTGCGGCAGTTTGTGCAAAAATTAGATTTAAAATAATCATAAATATTCTCTTTGTTATCTTAAATTCTAGTAATTTACTTCAGTTTCATTATTAAAAGCATTTGTCTTTAAAAAAATTATGAAGGTGTAGAAACTTTTTTAAATGACATGGATAAGTATATTAGTGCCTTAAAAACACGTAATTTACAACACCGACTCACATTTACAGTTTTTAGCAATATGCTAAATATTTCAAGACCATTGTATTCGCTTACATGGAGGCCACAACAATAACTCTACTGGCCAGCAAATTCTGGGGGGCTATTTTCAAACTCGAGAAAAAGTTATTTTTCTAAGATTTTCATGAGAAATGTCATACGTCATCATAAAAACAGTATTTTTAAAGCCAGTGAAAACTCGCAGACTGTTTCTTTTGGTTTATTTCGAGAGGATTAAAATTCTGCCAAGAATTTGAATTCTACTTGGCTTTAAAAATATTGTTTTTACGTTGACATATGACATTTCACATGAAAATCTTGAGAGAAATGAGTACTTACTTTTAAGTTTGAAAATAAGTCCGTAACTTACAAAAATTCCTCTAGAAAGGCTTTAAATTTTAAAATGTCCTCTTCGTCAAATCAGCGAATCGTCAAAAAGTTACGATAGTGTGCTAGACCTTACTGAGCATGATCAAATTATTTACTAAATCCCGCGCCATCGGGATTTACAAAATATATTGTTAAACATATATTTAAAGTGACCATATTTTAAAAAGTAGAAAGCGGGACAAATAGAAAGCAAGGATATATTTCCACGAATTCTCTTTGCAGTAGTGACGGTTTGGTCCATTTAAGAGCATAAAAATATATATAAGAGAGTGGGATGTCACGTCACCATAAAAATTGAAATATTTATATTTTTTCGTTAGACAAAAGCGGAACACATGTTAAATCGGGACTAGTGCTTTAAAATCGAGACTGTCCCGCCTAAATTGGGACAAATATTTTCGTTTATTGACAAAAAATAAATAAAGTTTATGCTCTATGGATGTTAGACGTTTGTCTTTAAGGAGGTCCTTTCGCCACCAATGTTAAATAAAAAATATTAGATTATGACTAAAATTAATTTTTTTCTAATAGTAGATGTCCTTATTTATCTAATAGTGAACTTTTAACTATACCTTACCGTGCAAATTTTTGAGAAAAATTTTTTTTTAAATGTGTAAGTTTGTACAGTGTCTTATGAGAAAGTAAGACTTCAACAACAATTTTCGAATTATAATTAATTTTACTATTATTTATTGATTAGATGGAGTAGAAAAAAAACTAAAAATAAGGTTTTTGAAATATTTAGGTTTTGTTTTTTACAATAAAATATATAGGTTACCGTGGAATTTATTGAGAAATTATTATTAAAAAATCACAAAAAATTTTCAACTAGGTTACTTGAAAATTTTTTGTGATTTTTTAATATTAATTTCTCAATAAGTTCCACGGTTTACTAGATATATTTTATTGTATAAAACAAAATCTAAATATTTCAAAAACCTTATTTTTAGTTTTTTTCTACTCCATCTAATCAATAAATAATAGTATAATTCGAGAATTGTTGTTGAGGACTTACTTTCTCGTGAGGCACTGTACAAATACTCACATTTAAAAAAAAAAATTCTCAAAAATTTGCAAGGTAAAGTATAGTTAAAAGTTCAGTATTAGATAAATAAGGACTTCAACTATTAGAAAAAAATTAATTTTAGTCATAATCTAATAACTTTTTTTTTAACATTTGAGGCGAGAGGTTAGGCGAAAGGACCTCCTTAATGTGAAAAAATAATAAAAAGGAGCTATTACTTTAAGGAGGTCCTTTCGCCACACCTCTCGCCTCAAATGTTAAAAAAAAAAGTTATTAGAATATGACTAAAATTAATTTTTTTCTAATAGTTGAAGTCCTTATTTATCTAATACTGAACTTTTAACTATACCTTACCTTGCAAATTTTTGAGAATTTTTTTTTAAATGTGAGTATTTGTACAGTGCCTCACGAGAAAGTAAGTCCTCAACAACAATTCTCGAATTATACTATTATTTATTGATTAGATGGAGTAGAAAAAAACTAAAAATAGGGTTTTTGAAATATTTAGGTTTTGTTTTTTACAATAAAATATATAGGTTACCTTGGAATTTATTGAGAAATTAATATTAAAAAAAAATTTGAAGTAACCTAGTTGAAATTTTTTTGTGATTTTTTAATATTAATTTCTCAATAAATTCCACGGTAACCTATATATTTTATTGTAAAAAACAAAACCTAAATATTTCAAAAACCTTATTTTTAGTTTTTTCTACTCCATCTATCAATAAATAATAGTAAAATTAATTATAATTCGAAAATTGTTGTTGAAGTCTTACTTTCTCATAAGACACTGTACAAATACACACATTTTTAAAAAAATGTTTTCTCAAAAATTTGCACGGTAAGGTATAGTTAAAAGTTCACTATTAGATAAATAAGGACATCTACTATTAGAAAAAAATTAATTTTAGTCATCATCTAATATTTTTTATTTAACATTGGTGGCGAAAGGACCTCCTTAAATTATCCACCTTATTTTAGTAAAATGTGTAGTGTGTTCAGTGCTACAAATAATTTATAAATTAAAATATATTTGCAAAGTGTACAGTTTTGATCAGCATCCCTTATATAACCTAGAATGTTTTACTTCATTAAAAATAAAATAAAAAAATGTGATAGCATAAGACATCATAACAATAAAATTGTATTTTTTAATGGCCATTATAAATATAATTTTTATATTATTTGTTATTTTGCCATAATATATTTTCAATTAATACGTACCAACTGTTATGTTTATGTTATATGAGTTTCGGTCTAAAATAACAGTTATGTTAAAGAATGATATATTAAATGAAATTTCTAGACTTTATTATTCTATGAAATACTATCTTCCACGTGCACATTTTTTATTCCTTGAAACTTATTACTAAAATTAATTTTTATGACCTTAATCATCCATTTTATAACAATTTATAAATATTGCTAACATTTTCTAAAAAAAAAATGTAGATTTCGGTTTTATTCAGGAAGGTCTGTATCTAGCGGATCGGCCATATTGGGTTGACAACATCCACGCCAAGCGCTACTGTTTTGAACGTTTGAAAAAGATACTTATAGCGTCTCCCTACCTTATAACTCCATGAGGCTCATGTACCTACCTATACGTTAATAGTTATGTATTTAATAATTATTAGTTCCCAATTGAATGTACCCTTTTTTATTGCTTCTGTTCTAAGTTTTAAATTTCACATCGATATTTAAACCGAATTATCACGTAATTGATAGTTATTTTAATATTTTAATTTTCTTTCCAGGGCAATGAGAAATAGAGGAATAGAAATATATCTGCTAAACGAAAACGAACATCAAACCAATAACATCTTTGACAGAACCAGTTTAGTCAGCTTGGAAGGTTTATCTAGTCCATATGCCGAAATATCTATCAAAATACACGATATGATATCTGATCTTTTAATCGGAGAAAAACCGAGTATCAACGAACTCATACAACTAAGCACTCTATTATCGCAACAATTTAAATATGAAGTTAACAAAACAGAAACGTTCGTTAAAACAATTATGGAAATTTATTACAAAACTAGATCTGCAAACCAATTCGACTGCCCGAATTTTCATAGTTTAATACACGAAAAAATAACCGAATACATTGGTGAAGAAGTTGGTAAAAATTCAGATTATTTTAACGAAAATCTTACTTTAAAGACTCAAAATATTTCAAAAAATGCCTCTATTGAAAAAATTAAACAACAATCTGTGATTCTATTTAATTATATTGAAACGCGTGTTCGAAGCATACAGGATATCAATCTTGAATTATGTTATATGCTGGCGAATTTCTATTCAATAACGTCAGTAGAAGATTTAAATTTAAGACACATTTTTATTATAGAAAAAATCAAGTCTACTTCCGATGAAAAACTGAACCAAAAAATTAAAGATGTTTTATTAATCATCATCAATTACTTGAACCAGTATATCGAAAAAGCTCAAACTGATAATATGTATCTACCTCTAGATAAAAACTGGATTTCAGACCGTTTATTAGATGATAAAATCAGTAATTGGGTTAATCTGGGACTTTATTTATCCGTACATCGTCTTTTGGGTAACATTAAGTTGCATCTTAATTCTGGCGGCAATGTTACCCTTGGTGGTGGTGATCTACACTTCAACCCACCAAGGGGAAAGAAAATAACGTTAATGGAATACGCCATTTTAATCGATCAAAACAAAGTGGAAGACAAATTTAATAATATCGTAATAAAAAATTATGCGAAATTGCATAATAACTTCGAGTCGTATTTGTTTGAAATTTTATCTAAAATGAATAGAATATCTGATGACGATATGATTAATCTGTTACAAATGGTTTTTTGGAGATACAAGTTGTTCGAATGCTTTACTTTAGACTTCAAAAATTCTACCAACGAGCTGGAATTAAGAAATACTATAACCAACTTACCGGTTCATTATAAATGGTTTTACAAATTTGCTGTTAGACAAGTCAGCACAATTACAGAAATACCCGTACCTGAAGAATTCGAAGAAATTTTAACCATCATCAACTCAAAACTAGACAAGCAGTTTTCTACCATTCACAAATTGGGTAAAAACTATCAGAAATGCAGCAAACGGCCGCCACCTTTTACCACGAAAGATCAATTGGAAATCGTCAAAGGTTTTAACGATATATCTAAATTGTATGACACGACGCTCAAAGGAAACGATGCCATCAACATATTTAACGTCGTTAATGGAAATAAAGAATTTCGAGCTGCTTTAATAGAAATGAAGTCCGAATTGAACGAAGATTGCTCGGATCTATCAAGAAAATTCGAGCTAATAACGAAAATTAAAGAATCTGTGGAAAGAGACGTAAAAAAGGTTCTAACGAAGTTTGAATTAGAATTACTAACAATTCTGGATATCTTCGTGCATCTTGAATTGAAAAATAGTATTTCTACGGACAACTGTACCTCACTTGCAAATAACATTTTGATTCCTACTGACTTAAGCGGCGCTTTATTAGCATACAATAATACCAAAAATGAATTACTGCTTCATGAAATTTACAAATCTTACTATATGTATTTGATGAACTCTCCATCGGCGAGACCAAGTCCGTTCTTAGGTTTGGAAAAAGTCGTAGAATTGAGCGAATTCAGTCCGAAATTGACTTACCTGATAACTACCTTGTTGATCGAAGCCAAGGAATCGGAAAATTTACGAATAATGACTTTGGGTAATTTTAGAGGCTTGTCCAAGCAACACGAGTCGTTAAATTTGATTCTTTGGAGGAATTTGTATCAGTTATCCGATGAAGAATATTCTTTTGTGTAAGTATTTACTACTTTCGTAATACATATTTATACAATAATAACTTCTGTACGGTAAAATATTTAAGACAATACTCACTCGGACAGGTCGATTTTATTTCTGATGAAGGACGTTTCTATAATAAAAAAATTTACACTAATTTCAACTCTTTGCGCAGGGTAGGGGTGGGCAAAATAATCTATTAATCGATAAAAAAAATTGAAAAATCAATAATTTTTCATTGATTGATTAATCTATTATTTTCGATTAATCGATTATTTTCGATTATTTTCGTTTATTTTCGTTTATTTTCGTTTATTTTCGTTTATTTTCGTTTATTTTCGATTATTTTCGATTATTTTCGATTATTTTCGATTATTTTTGATTATTTTCGATTATTTTCGATTATTTTCGATTTTTCAAAGATAATTTTTATAATCGATTTCGATTAAAAGATTAATTAAAATAATCTTATGCTCGTTTAATCGAATAATTGACTTTAATGGAAATACAAAATAAATTATATTCTTTCAATCTAATAAAAAATATGCTGTAGGCAACAACTTTGAAAATTATGTTAAAATTTAAGTTATTGTTTTTTTTTAGTAGCAATTTATAAACGAATCACATAAACATAATCACATTTTAATAACCTTTTAATCTGTTTTTTAATGTGGGTTTGTATTATAAGTATAGTTAATAGCTTCCTTTCATAATCGATTAGACGAATATTTACGATCAATCAATTATTTTTTATTAATCTATTATTTCGATTAATCGATTATTTCCATTAATCGATTATTTGGAATAATTGATTATTTCGATTAATCGAATATGTTTGATTGGCCGATTATTTATTTTGATAATGTCCTAGTCCTAGCGAAAGGTAAATACCCTTTTGAAAATGTTAAATGAAAACAGGGGTCAACTGATAGCTTATTTGAAAGGGTTTTTAATTCTCTATTCAACTGAATAAATAAATTTTTCCGTCGACCGACCATTTATGATGTATTTTAACGCACTCAAAATCGTTGATTAATGACCCCTATTAATGAATGATTTTCTATTAATCAACGATTTTATTATATGCTCTTATTATACATTTATATTGACAGTTACCTAAGGTATAGGCAACCAAACATACATATACATTTGAAATCAAGAATGTGTGTTATTGTGTCATTATTTAATTTCTTAAAATTCAAAAACTCCATGTATAGTTTAAAATTAAAAGATGGATATTGACGGTCGACGAAAAAGTTCTGTAACGAACTCGTGAATTAAAATGGCGATTAACAATCTCGAACATTATATCGATTGTTAATCGCCCTTATTAAAACACTTGTTCGTTAAATAACCATAAATTTGCTTTATTAAGGTAAAGGTGCTAGTAGTGGACATGTTAAGAAAATAATTACGTGTTTCTGAATTGTTATAGACAGACAGTTATAATACCCCCAATATCATATAAAAAAGCTTATTTTTGGACTTCTTTAATTGTATTAAATGATACTAAACAAAAAAATAATCAACCAATTTTATAAAAAAAAAAAATGAAGGAATTCCTTCCTATGCTCCAGTAGTGATCACACCAAATTGGATTTTATCTAATAGTGGACACAGTTTTTTTCCAATAGTTGACACCCAGATTTTTGGTAATTCTATTAATGCTATATTCATTTCATGGTAAAAATCTAAGATCTGGAATAAAAAATATGTAAAAGCACTTTTAATTTAAGAAGTAACATTTATTGGTTTTTCAAATGCATAACTTAACCTTTCTCCTCGTACTATTAGTTGAGGCGGGTCAAGTCTACTAACAATTTGATTTAAATTTATTTCACAAACGTCTTTATCATTTGCCACAAACTCGAGCAGTCGGCGCTTTTATATCCCATAATAATTATAGACTGTGGTGAGGTTAATGTCTGAATAACACACAGATATCTGAAGATTGTGGTGTTTCTTTTGCCACCCTTGAACTCTGCCAGTACATAGTCTCCTTCCTTCAAATCAATAAAATTAACAGTAGCAGCAACATTTTCCTCATTCTCGCTTTCATCATATTCTTCCAATTCTGACCTGCTTGAAGCGAGTAACTGCTTTGATAAGAAGATGATGAAGTAGACTGTTGACGTTTTCTTGTAGCCATTTTTTGTGTTTTCTTTTCTTTGGCCTCTATTGCTTTCTTCTCTGCATCGTTTCTTTTCTTGCTATTTTTCGTTGTTCTTTTTTAAGCTCCGCCTTTTTTATTGCCTTCTTTGTGTTTAAAATATTCCAACATTTGTGGAGATGTGACAACTGCTGGTAGTACTTCCCTTCGTTTTTTGCCAGGTCCTGCTTTATCATCTGAGTGTATGCAACGCAGGGCTCTTTTAAACGGAGATGGATAATACAATACTGAAGGGAAAATTGAGGTGCGTTCCACATCAACATATAAAGACGACATAGTAGGTGATGTTCTCTGCAATGGAATATTAGTACTTGATGTACCAGGCTGTTCTACTGCAGACGTAGTTGCTTGTTCCACAGCAGCGTCTGAAGAAGTCGTCTTTGTTGGTGTGGAAATAACTGGTAGTTTTTCTTCGCTTGATGAACCTGGCTGCTCTATCATGTTGTATCGTGTTGTTACTTTAAAAAAGAATAACAAAACATACATTTTATCTACCTTATAAAAGGCTTGCTTCTTCTTATGAAATCTTTTCCATAGATTAAATAGTGAAGAATATTGTAAATCTCCCTCCCACTCTCCTTCTGTTTTTATAAAGGAATCCATTTTTTCTACCCCAATTTCTCTTTCTAAAATGAGTAAAAATATTTCCTCGTCATGATTCATTATAAGCGTATTGGATTCACTTGATGATTTATCTCCCACTACCACGTTTTTAGAGTCCCATGGCACCAATCCACACTTTTTAAAACCGTTCACTATGGTTGAATTTTTTTATTGATGGCAATACTTCCTTAAGAACTGGGGCAAAATGGTGTTTTTTAACTGCTCTCCATTATTTTCTATTCTCCATTCATGAACTTTTTGTTTCCAAGAAGTTTTTAAAACATGGAAAACAGCAACATCCATTGGCTGTAGGACATGGGTAGAATTAGGATACAAGGCAACTAATTCTATTTTAGTTTTCATTCAAAATTTACTCACAATCAGTTGAAAAGATATATGGAAGTATGACCATCCATAAAAATAACTACTAGTAATTTAATTCCTTCTTTCTTGATCCAAAGAAGGAAAATGTTGGCAATGCACTCAAAAAATAATTCCTGAGTCATCCAACCATTTAGTGACTTTCCGATTGACCAGTCTGCTGGAAATGTTTCGCCAATACGCTGAGGAATTCTAGAATACCTATAAAATAAAGACTAATAAAAATGGAAAACTACAAAATACTTATAAAACGTTTCCAGAAGCAGACTTAGAACCTTTAGGAGCCAAAACTTTGGATTTAAAAAGAATGTGGTTTCATCAGCATTAAAAACTTCTTGGGTCATCCAAAACTTGGAATAACTGCTTGTCTTGAGATATGTTTCTACTTTTTTAAACCGCAGGTTTATATTTTCTTGAGATACTCATTTTCTCATAGCAGTTAGATTTTGGCTTACTCTAAAGCTAATATCAGGATATCTTTGAAGAATTAACTTCATCCATTTTTTACCTAAAGAGGTATTTCCTTTAAATATAACTTTTAATTCTTCGGCCAATTTAGCTACACTTCCTAAGAACGTATACTTTGTCAGATGAAATCCAGCGGTTGCCATTGCTTTTACCCACTCGACAAGTTTTGCCTCTTGGTCCGAAGTGAAGATGTCTTTAGGTCCCATTTTGATTTTCAAGGGTACTGTGCACTTATGCTTGCGCATTAGTGTCACTCTGGGAACACCATACGTCTTTGCAGCAGCTTTATAGGACATTCCTCAATTTACAGCCTCAACAACACTTAACATATTTTGTTCTAGGTATTTAAAAAAAAAATTATGCTCCATATTTACCTTAAAATAAATTGAAAACTATTAAAAACCTAGACAATTAATAAAACGAGAATAAATCTTTATACATTTTTACTTATAAACTGTTATAAATAAAAAAAAATGAAAATTTAACCCAATGGTGGACACCTATATGGTCTAATAGTAAACACCCTATGTACACTACTGGATCCTAGCCTCGGTTCCTAATAAAACTTGAAACGTAGCAGTGGTTATTTTTTTAAAAGTAAAAGTAACAAGTCAACTCAATTTTAGTTCAAATTCCTAAAGTAGACACCCGTGTTCACTATAGGAACACATATATTTTATCGTTCCAATAGTGAACACCTTTATGAACTTTTCTTTTAATGGTTATATTAAGAAATATTATCCATAATTAGGTCTTTAGAAGTATTTTTATTAGATAAATATAACAGTAGGTGGGTAACTCTCATAACTTTAAATAAAATACCATGTTTAGATTACTCACCTCTTATGTAAACTTAATAAATCACAACATAAATTGCAAATTATCCATTTCTGGTTTTAGAACTTCACTAGCTGTCACTTAGAAGACAGTGGACAGGGGGGGGGGAGGGCGTTGGGAACCGGTATTATATGCATATTTTTGCCAAATCAATTGCATTTCTTAAATATTACAGATTTACTTTATTTTCACACTTTGAATTTTAAGATGTCCGCTGTAGGGAACATGTTCACTACTGGTAACTTTACCTTAGTTTTTCACTTAATTAAATTTAAAATGTTCAATAAACTAAACAGATAAAACAATATGACATTGGTTTATTAATTATTGGATTACAACTTTGTAAACTAGTACTTCAGTTATAATCATGCTTAAAATGTTCCTAATTGATTTCTCGACAGAAAAAAGTATATTTTAGTTGCTTCCCTTACATTTTATATTTAAGTTTAAGTTAAAAACGAAACACCAAATTTAAAATTATTGAAACCGTTGATTAAAGAATAAAAACTCTTTGAAGTGAGCTATCAATAGACCCCTGTTATCAGTTCAAATTTGCAATGTGGTAGCTACCTGAGTAAGGGATAGAAATTGGGGCAACTTTTTTTAACAGAAATAAAAATCGATCTCTGAACATTTTTTTGAATGTTTTACCAGAAGTTAGTAAAGGGAGTTGTAACACCTTTGTCGGGAAATAATAAATCCTAGAAAGACACTCGCATCTGACTATTAAAACTATCATATATTACTTTTCTGTCATTCAATGCGATAGTTTAGTGATGATGTAATTATGGTTCCACTGACAATTAAAGTGACAGTAGATTTTTTGAGATCGTTTTGTTCGTTTTGTTTATCTAAATTATATCGTTTTTTTTACTTTTATAAATATATTCCTAAAATAAGTAGATAGCATGTATCAAATATACAATCATTTAACCAATTACATACCTTTAAACTATTTTTTATGACCTGTAAACAATATTTTGAAATAAAATAAAAGCAGTAAAAACGTATATGTCAAATTTATTGATGTTTTTGTTAAAAGTTTGGTTATAATTAAATGTCAGTGGAAACAAAATGACATCATACTGAACTAGCGCATACCATTACAACATAAAATAATCACTTACAGGGTGTCATAAAATATAAACAACTATATTAAACAATTATTTCTACATTCTGTCCCCTACCCCGAAATAAAAAATAAAAACTACGGAATGTATCAGAAGCGGTTTGGACCTTAGCTACACTTACTAACCCATCTTTTCCACGGTGTCTTGGAATTCTTCCCATTGGACAAAATGTTTCTGGGATCATTGTTGTCGCCGATAATCACAATATCACTTTCATATTTTTCGTGTGTTGGAATAATTTTTGGCATCTGTTCAATGTTGGAAGGAATTCTCACCTCATTTTCCTAAAAGGATAATCATTATACAAGATTTCTATAACCTATGTGTTAAAACGATATACAGAGAGCATGCTATGTCTATTTATCTAAACACAATATCTAAAATTATATTGTTAAACGCCTCTGTACATTTTCACTCTTAAAAAACAAAAAAAAACAAAAAAAACAAAAAAAAAACAAAAAAAAAACAAAAAAAAAACAAAAAAAAAAAAAGCAAAAAAATGCAAAAAAAAATGCAAAAATGCAAAAATGCAAAAATGCAAAAAAGCAAAAAAAGCAAAAAAAAGCAAAAAAAAACAAAAAAAACAAAAAAAAACAAAAAAAAACAAAACTTAAATCTCAACGTTTTGAAATAAGACATGATTTTATCCATTTTTGTATCCTACAGAATGAAAAAAAACACCGTAATTTACTTAACATTAGGACTCGACAAATATAATAAAATTTAAACATCTGTGTATACCATCTAAATGAATGCAAAAAACGACAATGCCCCAATAGCCCCCAAAAGCAGGTCATTGGTTTCCTAAATCCACAGGTAATAATGGGCTTTGGCACTTGATTCTTATGGTCGTAAACGAGAAGAGCTTAATTTATTAGTTGTGGCTGGATTTACAATAATTTATGTTTATGACCGTAATTCTATTTAATTGCACCATGAAATAAAATGAAATGCAATGACAATGAAATGAAAAAAATACCCTCATAATTTAACAATTACAATTTACCCAAATAAGAACGGTGCCCCTTTTAAACACATATAATAATAATAATAATAATGATAACTGTAATAAAACCATGCTGTTGTAACTCTCCTCCGGCTGTCTCCATGACTACTATACAATGGGTAGAACACTAAGTAGGAGTGTGCGTTGAAAACGATGATCTCGAAATGAGTTCTATAACGGCGTTTACGCGATTAAAACCAATAAGCGTAGCATCTAAAAGAAAATACGATTATCGCTAAAATCTACGCACTAGGAACCTCACAAAAAAGAAAAAGATATTGCCGACAAATGTAGACACAGGACATGATTTTGATTCTTTGACAGATTTCAAAATTTTACACAACACCTTTAATAGATTAACTCTTAAGGTTTATATGGACCCCCGGAAAAAGTATCTACATGTTCAAAATTTTTGAAAAAATTTGTGAATGTATATACAACTTTAAGTATTATTTTACCAAAATTTGATCCGGTTTGTATCATTTGTTCTCAAGAAAAATCGGAAAATTTACTTTTTTACAAGTATAAAACAAAGAAACTAGAATATCAAGAGAGATCATTATTTTATAAAATAAATTAGTTTTGGTTAAGAAACTTACATAAATTTTTTGAAAATTTTTGAACTTGCAGAAATGACGTAATTGAAGAATATATATATTTTATTAACAAAAATTAGATTTAAACTATAAAAATGAATGTAATATTAAAGAATATACCTTCAATAATTATATTTAAAGACATTGACCTCGAAACATTAATAAGTTTTTTAGAAATTTAGTGAAAAATTCAATTAAACAATAACAATATTTTGAATTTCCTCTTTCAGAGTCTTATCTCTGAGAGGTGCTGCCATCTCAATTAGTACATTCTAAAATTGCTCACAGAGAGCACTAAATTTCCTACTCAAACAGAAATTTCGGATGTCCGCATACACCAACGCTACCGTGTTGCCAGATCGAGTTGTACTACTAAGTTCGCTGGATTAAATAAATATTTTTCTATTAATAATTCGGTCG